TAGACCCCTGGCAGAACCGGACCAGGGAGGGACACCCGGCTTTAGAAGCATGAGCCGGTCGTGCCTGAGCCAAGGCTCACTGAAGTCATTCAGAGCTGACTGTTGGCCTTAGAGCAAACCCCGAGTCCTGTCGCTGGCTCAGACCTCGATGGACCAGCCATGAGAGGGGGGATGTGCAGGCAGCACAAACCAACAGTGGATCCTCAGCTCGGGCGCGACAAGGGGCGGAGCCCATCAGCAGCTCGTAGGAGATTGGCTGACAGTTGCTGATGTAACACAGCATAGCCAATAAGAGCTCTCTCTCTTGCTTGGCCTCCCGTAGAAAGCCGCTGGGGGATTTGCCTCCATCCTGGAGCAGACGTCCTCCTGGTCGAACCTGAGCACAGAGCAGCTCTCTGTCTCGGCCACCATCGTCCTGCACAGCGTGGAGAGGATTGTGATGGACATCCTCACCAACCCCACCGAAAACAGGAACTTGACCTTCCGGACAGAGGAGCTGGGTAGGAAGCCAGGCCTGGAGGGGGACAAGACAGGGCACCAGGGCAGGGAGAGGTGGCAGCTGCAAATCAGAAGCAGCATGACTCTGACCAAGTAGGGGTGGAGCCTGCCTGGGGACCCATCAGCAGGTACCATATCCAGTCAGCACATTTCACTGTGGCCTCCTTATTATGACCATTATGGTAGCACCTAGAAACCTCTGCCGTGGTCCGGTTGTGGACGGCGCTGCCCAGACACAGAGGGAGAGATGGCCTCTGCGCAAAGAGCTTACAGAGCAGACAGACAAAGGGAGGCTGGTTATCCCCATTTGACAGAGGGGGAAATTGAGGAAGGGAGCTGCAGGAACTGCCTGAGGTCATGCAGGATGTCTGTGGTGGAGCTGGCAGCTCAGCTGGGATTTCCTGCATCCCAGGAGATTGCCTGAACCACAAGGCCGTCCCCCTATACCCCAGCTCTCAGGGTTCCAGCCGGCGTGTGCAGAAGGCTGCAGTTCCCAATCCCAAGCCAGCCAGGCCCCATCTCCTACCTGCATGTACAGCTGCACAATCCCCCCTTGTTCCTAATGCCCTGGGAGAGATGTGGTCCAGTGCCCGCATGAAACTTTCTCCCTGTCTCTTTCCTGTGGGCACAAAACCTCTTCCCCTCGTAGCTGGATGGTTCCTTCTGTCTCTGCCATCCCCTGCTGCTCTGCTTGGCTGATGGCCCCCGTTCAAGGAGCCATTGTGCTTGTCAGACTGTGTTGTTCCCCCCTCTCCTTAGATGTCCAGATGAAAGTCATTGGGAACGGCTGCAGCAGCGAGGACTCTGTCATCAGCCTGGGAGCCAAAGGGGAGAGCATGGAGATTAGCTGCAGAATGGTTCAGGAATCAACAGCACAAGGTACCTCATCACCGCCAGCAGACATGGACTGATGTGTGACGAACACATCTCAGTGGCCCCGTTCAGGATGGGAGAGGGGCAGTTTTACACAGTTAAAGTACAGGAGGTTTGAAAGTCCCCGAAGCAGGAGATTCCAACTTAGATGGAGCACTGCTCTGTGCCGATATAGACCAAGATGGGAAATCGAACTAGATGGACTATCGATCTGATTGGGGATGGCGGAAGTATGGGACACAGGGCTCATGGACCAGACCTCTGTGCTGTATTGACAATTCCTGGTTCTTAAGCCCTACGAATATAGATTCCTTCTGTCCTAGTCAAGCCTGCTAGAATAAAGGGAACCAGAAGAATAAAGAACAAGGGCTGGCAGGGACTGTTCCATCTCCAGGACTCTTCAGTGGAAAACTGGGTGCCAAGAAAATGCCAGTGTTTCAAGAAGTGGCTAATTTCTGCTGCCCAAAATGCTCTCAGCCCGGACAGTCATTCTGCTTTTGGATGAAGAGCTAAAAGATTTTGATTCTGAAATCATGAGTCTGCTGCCTTATTCTCCCGTTGCCCTCTATGGGCCTGATTCTCCTGCCAGACTTCATCTTCCATGAAGCACTGTGGCTAGATGGTTCCCTTGGTGCATCACGGGAGATGCAGTCCAACCAGGAAGCCTGGATCATACAGGAAAAATGGGAACACCTGAACCATAAGTCCCATGAGGCACTGCGGTGGCATTTTCAAAACAAACATTTGGTTTAATTTGTTTTGCCCCAGACTCAAGGGGTATGTCTACACTACCCCGTTAGTTCGAACTAGCGGGGTAATGTAGGCATACCGCACTTGCAAATGAAGCCCGGGATTTGAATTTCCCGGGCTTCATTTGCATAAGTGGGGAGCCG